TTCATAAGTATTATCACACTCTATAGTGTACTCTCACAGATTTATCAAGATTATCTGTGAATAAGTTTCAGTGAGTATCTCAAAGAGAGTTTTATCTGTGCTGATATACTTTGAGTTGTTGTATATAAACTCTATAAGTAATAATCAATACACTCAGTCATTCTAATTATAATTGACAAAGTATCACAGATACTATTTTAATATACTCATCAGATATTCTATCTAATCATCTGTCTATTAATAAAAAGTCATACTTAGATCTCATAAGATCTTCAGTATAGTTATCAGATCAGATTAGAACTTCTCTGTGAAGATTAATTCTCTATCTGAGATAATATTCATAGACAATTCATGCAACTGAATCACATCACAGATGAAGATATAAGTTAAATTCTTTGACTTTAAGTTCTTATGAGTGAATATAAAGTATGCTATCTTGATAAAGTAATTCACTATTATTAGTACACTGTCAAAGCAGGTATTATATATATTCTTACTTTCAGAGAGACTTACAAGAGTGTTCATTTCTAGCTGTTCTTAAGATTTCTGTGAAATGAGTAGAGAAGTAAGTTCTTCATATAATCTGAATTATACTACTTATAAACTCTGATAAACAGTATAAGAATTCACTATCTTCTTCATAAGTTCTCATATCTTCAGTCAGAAGTATTTTCTTATAAGTAACTCATGAGTTCTAGTATCTGTAAAATAACTCACTAGAGAAGAGTTATAATACCTTTTAATGAGTTCTATATATAGAAACTTATTCACAGATATATAAATTCAGCTCTCTCTTTATAAGAGATTATTTAAGTTTCTTTAATTCTTTATTTCTGTAGAATTAATCTCTACTGTGAGCAGTTTCTGAATATACTGAGTATATTCATTCTTTAGTTATAGTTCAGACAATCTGAATAAAAGATCTTATGAAAACTTATACTCTGTTTTTTCTTATATCAGGTCTTTCATAATGCTTCTCAAAGCCTGTAAACTCTTCAGATTATAGATACTAGACTGATCATATGCCCGTGTCTGAGACCAGGACTAGATTTTTTGATAGTTTCATTATCAATTCGACTGATCTCATTACACGGTTTTAACATTAGATATTAGTTTCGTACTATCTCAGTGAGACTTACTGTCTACTCTTATCACATTTTTCAAATGAGACCATGATGTCTACTTCTCAATTTAAATTATTTTTATTACTTTAAATAACTTTAAATCTCATTTCAGCATTATTAAAAAGTGTTACTTTTTAAAAAATTAAAAATAGTCTAAAAAAAACCTTAAAATGTCTAAAAATAGTAACTTTATGTCAAGAATGAGACTAAATGAAACCAAATGAGATCACTTTCTTATTTTTTTCAAGTCATTATTTCATTTTAAGATCTGATATATAGCTACTTTACATGTTTTTTTGATAGTCAGTCCCAGCGGAATTCACGCCAAGAAATGTATGAGATCAGATTAAATGAAATCAAATGTGAAATTCATGATCTCAGCAGCCAGTCTAATAGATACTCTCTTCAAGAATTCTCACAGAGATTCTCAGAGTGTTGACTCTCAGTATTATAGAGAGTAGTTGTACAGACTTCTTCTCTTTCTTTCTCTTCTTCTCTTACAGATTATTATTATTATTATTATTATTCTTCCATTATACTCATATGCAAGCGGAGCTTATGATGAGTCCTTGCGTGATGTTAAATACAGGTCAAGTGTTGATTATACAGGAGGAAATACAGGTGTTGAGACCACGCCAAGATAACAAGAACATAGGAAAATACAAAGGAGTGACAATTAGATACATGCGATAATAACTTCCCAGCCCAGGAACATAGAGTGATTCATTGGAGCGATTTGTACACCTCTGTATTTATTAGAAACCTGAGGTGCTTGAGTTCCGGATTTAATGTATCCCCTGCGGGTTTCGAACCCACGCGCCTTGGTTTCCCACGCCAAGGCGCTACCAGGTGGCCGCATTAACCATTCGGCCACTGGGGCTCTTCTCTTACAGAGAATTAAGAGACTCTTCAGTCAATCTCTTTATAACACTCAGTCTGAGCATCTTATAAAGCTTTTCTGTCTTCTCTAGTCTCTCTATATCTATTATTCTGATCTTTTTAACATAGTCTGATCTGTGAGAGAGTCTGTGTGTTGAGTTCTTAGTTCTCTTAATATGTTCTATCTTGAATCAGAACTTACTCAGTCTCTGAGCTCAGTGAACCTGCTACTGTGAGAGTTGATTAATTGAAGTAAACTATTATAAGCTATCATGATCAGTTCTAATAGTAATCACTATCATAAGACTCTTAAAGTAGTGATATCAGTGATAAAAGAATTTCACTACTATAAGAAGCTTCTGATTATAAATATCATAGTTGATCTCTATAAGTTACATCTTCTGTGAGAAAAAGATCACTGAAACTCAGTTCTCATTTAACTATAGTTATAAGACTATTTCTGAAATTGTAAAGAAGAAGATATCTGTCTTCAATTTAATTAAGAGTAAGAAATCAAAATGAAACAGTATCACTATATCTATGAATATCTATTTCAATCTTATAAAGACTCTATGAGCTTCTGAGATAAGAAAGTTCTTACAGCTCTTTCTTCTTAATAATCTTTTTATTCTCTATTTATAGAATGACTTCTTCTTATTTTCACTCTTCAGCATGTCTATAAGAGTTAAGAAGATTCTTATAAATACAAAGATAAATTATCTGTAGAAATTTACAAAGCTCAGAAAGATCTGAATTTTATAAATACTAGTTAACTTCAGTTATAATAGAATAGTCTCAATCTGTGAAGATTTCATCTGAATATCATCTACAGTGATTACATATTCTAGGAAATTAATTTAACAGACACTAAAGTTACACTTTATAAGCTTAATATATAGTTCTATCTTATCTAAGATCTTCAACACACTTTGTACATACTCAGTATATTCTTTCTTCTTTATGAAGTGCATTATCACATTATTCAGATATATTATTATAAAGACATTCAGATATATATAAAGTGTTTTATTAATAAAAGACTGAAATACTGCAGAGATATTAGTCAGATTAAAAGACATCACTAGATATTCAAACAATCTCAGTATAGTTCTAAAGATAGTCTTTTATTCATTCTCAGACTGTATTTACAGCTGTGTATAGACTGACCGTGTGATCATGTCTGAGACTAGAATCAAACTTTACAGTTGTCATGTTGCCTAAAAGCATTACTTCTGATCATGATTTGTGTTCATCACATTGATTTCAAATCCTGTTATTTCAAATATTAAAGATCTCAGATTCACTTTTTAAATAAAAATCTAGTCTCAGATAAAGAATATGTTTGAATTCTTAGTCACATTTTCATTCTGATCTCATTATTGAAAATAATATTAAATGAGATCATGAAATCATTTCTCACTTACATAATATTATAACATAGTACTCATTTGTTGAAAATTCAACAGAGAGTGTTATCAAATATTATTACTTTTCTAAACACAGATTATAATCAATATCATTTTAATTAAAAAAAAAAAAATGTAAAATACAAAAAATAACAAAAAAATAAAAAACAAAACAACAAGAAAAAATCATAATAAAAAAAAAAAAAAAAGAGAAAGAAAAAAAGAAGAGAAAGAAAAAGACAGAAAGAGAAAGAAAAATAAAAAAAAAAGAAAAGAAAAAGAAAAAAATAAAAAATAAAAATAAAAAAAAATCAAGATCATAGAGCTGCAGTACTTTTAAAATACTCACTTCTCAGAGTCTTTATAATATTCATTATCAACTGTGTATTTCTCACAGTGAGAATAACACAGCTGTAATGAGTCATTATCTTAACATCATCTAATAAATAATCAGTATATATCTATATAAATGTGAATAATTAGAAAATATACATTTAAAAAGTGTGATCAGAGTGAACTCTGCTGTCACTTGAATAGTATCAAGAGCAGAATGCTGGAATTGATGATTCTTCTTATTAATTTCACAGACAAAGCATATGAAGATGATCTTAGAAAATATAAGATTCTCTGACTTCTGATAGAAACAGATCTCACAGAGAGACTCTATTTTCATCATATCAGAGACTGAGTGTTATCAAAAAGCATTACTTTAATACATATGTACTTACTGCAGCAATTTATTCTCTGCACATGTAGCTGAGAGTTGCAGCTTTCTCACACTGCACAGCTCTCTCTGAAATACTGCTGCTGGTTTGCAACTCATGCAGTCTCTCAGTTCAGTACATGCTGTGTATATACAGCTCTGCGTGCTGAGACTGTGTTGATCATTATAGTCTGGCGTGGTACTCACTTTTCACAGGCCATGTTTCATTTGATTAAGGAGAGAAAGGAGACACAACTGCTGTTTTATTTAAGAGAAGATGAATAATTGAATCTGTAGAAGATAATTTGATTTCTTCTGAATTTGAAATTTAATTAGTCTATACTCTTCAATTTGAGAGTTTCTGAGAGTGTTTTAATAGTTTTCATATCAGCTTGAAATTAGTGATTGATTGAAGAAGAGAAAAGAGAGAAGAAAGAAATGAGAATAACTTATCTTTATAATATGAAAACAGAGAATTGCTGCAATCATTTATTCTAGTAATAAAGATCTGTTTTCTGCATGTATCTCTGATACAGATTATATAATAACTGTATACAAAGAATATCAACAGTGCATGTATTAAATGAAGATGATGTTGCTATATAATACTGTAACTGTTTCTGTACATTGCTGAAAGCTATTAATATTTTCTTTAAGTCTCTTTATATTTGATAAGTCAGTAATATATTTCAATACACTTTCTCTTTCATTATCATCATCATCATTATCATTATTATTATTATTATCATCATTATCATCATCACTATTATTATTATTATTATTATCATCATCATCATCATTATCATCATCATCATTATCACTATTATTATATCATTTCTGACTGTCTCTTCTGCCTTTATCTCTCTTTAACACTCACTGAAATTAATCATGTTATTTCTCTTCAAATATTCTGCAGTTCTGCAGATCATCAAGGCGCGTGAGCACTATCATAGATTGAAGAGAGAGAAGAAGAAGATGTTCAAGTGAGAGAAGACAGATTATAAGATATATTATAATGCCTTAAAGAGGCTCTGTAAGAGAGTAGAATGATAATGATTTTAAGTAACACTTCTAATAGATTTAGACTGAACTAAGTATAGAAATAATGTGAATGACACTGTCTGTGAGAGATTGAAGAAGAAGACAGTGAAGAGTCTTATACAGTAGCAGTGAGATCAGAAGAAGTTCTGAGAATAATTTGAGACTAAGATGAAGAGAGAGAGAGAGAAGAAGAGTGTTGCTATAAATAAGTGATAACAGAAGAAGATTAAGAAGATATTAAAGTGAGAGATAAAAAAGTTAAAACTGATAAGTTTTTTATTTATTGAGAGATAATGATTTTTGATAATGCTTCTGTTCTTTAATTGATTAGCAGAAGCTGGCAGAGAAGAAGGAAATTAAGACCTTATTTAGGTCTCAAATGTGCTTTATAATTCAGAATATTGAGAAGACAGCTCTGCTCTCTGAGCATGTCAATCTGCTTATCACTGAGATGAAACCTGAGACAGCAGATCAGAAAATGCGGGATTTTGAGACACAGATTGACCTGACTGAGAGAGAGCAGCAGGAACTCTTCTCTGAGAAGATAGTGAAGAGAGATTTTAAGATGATTATCATCTCAGATGAGAAGAAGAAGAAGAAGAAGAAGAATAAGAAGTGAATTATAAAGAATGATAAGAAGAATGAGAAAGAGAAGAAAGATGATAAGTAGAAAAAGTTTTTTTATTTTTATATTAGTTAGTTTAGTTATAAGTTCATAATTATTAATAATTGAAATTAATTTTGAGTTTTTAAAAATTATTGTACAAGTTGTAATCAAGTCAGAAACAATATATATATATATATATATATTTAACTATCATGATTCACAAATCACTATAATGTATAAGTATCAACATTTTTTCAACATTGATATTCACAATATTAATATATTTTTAAGAATATTATCTGATAATGTAATTTAGTAACACTCTCTTTCATAATATTAATATATTTCAAGAAATATGACAGAGATTAATTAAGATTGTTTATTTACTTTTATATATTGATGATATTCAATCTGAGTTAGTACTAAAATTATAACTAAGTTAAGAGATAAGATTATTTTCTCTTATATTAATTCTTCTTACACACATCAGTGATCAGTTATTGAAAATAAATTATTATCTTTCTTGAATTATTATCATGTCTTCTGAATTCACTTCTTTCACTTCTTTTACTTCTATTGAAGATTCATAAACTCTTCAAGAAATCACTGTGAATCACAAAGTCTATGTTATTTATAATTCAACACAGAATGCTCTTTTTTAATTATAATAAATGATTACTTCATTCTTCATATCTGATTTGAGGTCACAAAATTTATGAAAAACTTAACATAAATATTGAGATAAACTATGAAATAATTATCAACAGATTCTATTACAGATTACTGAAGAGTTATCTCTCTACTACAATCACTGCAACTTCATTCAGAAATATTTATTATGAACTGATCATGAGTCTGAAGAAATTTTCTGATATCTGAAGTCATTAGAATGTAGATAATAAAAGAAAAATAATCAGAAAATTACTACTGAGCTGGTAAGTTACTCTATCAGATAATGATTTTTAATAATACTAACTTTCTAATTTGAAGAAAATTATGTGAAAATAACTCTGTATCAGTACTCTGATTTCATAACTCTTATCTGATAACTTCTGTGAATAATTACTTTGCATGTATATATCTCTGAATCTTTCTCTTTAATCAATTGAAAACTCTGAATTCTGAACACTTCTTTAAATACTTAATTCAAATCTTCATATTTCACATTGATTCTGTCTTCAGTTCAATCTCAAGACACACTACAAAGTCAATATATAATATCTAGAATCAGAGTTGAAGAATCATCAAAGAGTGTCTCTCATAGTGAATGCTTGAACTAGTATAAATAATCTTATATTTATAAGAGTTACATGTTATTACATTGATGAGAACTGAACTTATTAAGAGACATTAATTGAATTTAAATCATTGATCAGTAGTCATACTGAGGATTATATAATAGAGATATTAATAACTGTGATTAAAAATAACTATTGAGATATTAGTCTCAGTCTTCTTACAATTACAACTGACAATGCTGTGAATAACTATACTATGATGAAGAGCTTGAAGTAAAAATTAGCTTTGCATTTCTGAAATGATAAACAAGGTTATATTCTCTGCATTGCTTATGTGATTTAACTTGTAATATAAACACTAATAAAGAATCTTAACATTGAGATGAAGAATAATGAGATGACTGATTCTTAGAATGAGAATGAGATGAAAGTGATTACTCAAGTAACTTTTATATTCACTTTATAAAAGATAATATTTTTTAATAACACTTTTTAATATTGCTTTTTAATAACATTTTTTAATAACACTACTGTTAATTTTGAATAGATTGACTAATAATTTAAATATCATAGATTTGAAACATTGCTAATGTGATTTGTATCTCTTCTAAATAATAACAATGATTTCATGATATTTAATAAATAAACAAATCAGTCACATCACTGAATATGATACAGAATGTTAGAATATAATAAAGTTTAATATATAAGATAACTGTTCAGATTCTTTGATTGTATCAGATAATTGATCATTAAGTGTAATACTCTGATTAAGAAAAGATTCAAATATTGAAACTTTCTGATATGAAGTGAACTCAGTTGAAATATGTGATTGATTTACTGTTTCAGTTTTATAAGATAATAAAGATAGTCTCAATCACTTATACATCAATGCTGCAGTCAGTCTGATGAGTGTATAACAGTTTATTTACTTATCTTGAGAAGCAGTTGAATCACTCAAAAAGAAATTCAGTCTGAGATGATGCTATAGTGCGGGCTATTGTTGCTGTAAGAGATAAACTGGTATATTATTACAGCAAAATGAAACATTCTTTTACAGAGTACTATGCTGTAGCAGCTCTACTAGATCTCTCTTATCAAGTTAATATCTACACTTCTCAAGATTGAATAGAGAAGAAATGAGACTTATATATCAAATTAGTCTGAGACTACTACAATGTCAACTATCAGAGATTTGAATGAGCAGATATTTGAGATGTGAAGACAGTGAAATATAATTCTTTAGTAAGTAATGATCTTTGATAATACTTCATATCACATAGAACTATAATACTAACTTTGAAACAGAACTTGCATATATTAATTGCAACTGAAAATCAGGCAAAACTATATACTTGTAAAACTGAATTTGACTGCTATCTTCAAGATGATTTGACAAATTTACACATTAAATCAATTCTAGAGTTATGAAAAATTGTTGAGAGTATATATTTAACTATTATACTGATGATATATAATATTCTGACAATTTCATTGACAGAGATAAAAATGAAGTGAAAGTTCAACTCAAGTTAAGATATTTATCACTATCACTGAGAATAATTATAAGAAGAAACAATCAAGAAACTCATGATTGTAAAACATAGAATTATCAGACAGTTTAATATCTCTGATCATAGTATATCAGAGAAGTGTAGTTTTCATGAGAAAGTGAAGAATAAACTTGTACAAGAATGTATTTAGTTGTTTCATGAGTGTTATCAATAATTATTATCAAATTCTGATTATATAAGTAATCACTGAATGAACTGAATGAGACTGATTTTAATCTTCAGTCTCAGTCTTATTCTGATTTTGAAAGAATGATCATCTTTCACAGTTTATTCTGAAAAATTACTCTTATTTCACTGTTCTTGAATTAAATCTGATCATTTTTCATGCCATTTCTCTCAGAAATGATCCATTTTCAGATTTTTTTGAGGCTTGGTCCTGGTGGGACTCACGTCAAGAAATGTATAGGACCAGACCAAATGGGACCAAATGTGAAATTCATGGTCCCGGCGGCCAGTCTAGCTGTGTATACATATTAATCACATTCAGTTGTGTGAATATAACAGCTTCTGTGAGATGATTGATCACATTCTTAATCAGAGAAAGAGAGTAGTGACTCTTTATTATCTTGAAGTTCAGATTATGATAGTCTATATATAATCTGAGATCTTTATTCTTCTTCTTTATAAATATCACAGAGACTTCTGTAGAGACCTATGAAGATCAGATAAAGTTATTCTTTAGATTCTTCTTTACATAGGCCTGTAAGACCTCTGTCTCATAATAAGAGAACTTATAGATTAGTTCTCAGAAGAGTTTCTACTCTTCTATTAAATTTATTATCAGATTCTTCTTATAGTGAGAAGAAAGCTTAGCTATCTTTACTGAGCTGAATATCTCTGTAAGATCTTGATATTTCTCTGATATCTGAAGCTCAGTTTTCATAACTGTGAAGTTCTTAGACATTTGTAAAGTCATTATATAGATGAGCTTGTCTTCTCTAATTAACTCTGTAACATTAACTGATTCTATCTCTGTAAGTGAGTCTATCAACACTGATTGAAAGTATAAACCTGACTCACAGACAGCTATGTGCAGATTGTGTCTTTGAAGTTATATAAGTTATTATTATTATTATCATTCTTCAATTATAGATGTATGCAGTCAGAGACTATGACATCTACGTGAGAATCTTTAGTTCTCAGGGTTTTTCCTATCTCTATAGAGTCAACTATTATACATTTATCAATTTCAAATATGCAAAATCAGAAAATTCCAGCTCAGAATACAAAAACTGTTTACAAATTGCAGTATTTCAACACCTTCTGATACTTTGAAATCATTTGAAAATATTATGACAAAAGAAAAGAGAACATAGTCTTAAAGATAGACACATTAAATAGATAGAGAAAAGAACAGAAGGAAACAAGTAACCGTGCCATGCTTACTCACTCTCTGTAGTGAGTGCACCACAGCGAACGGAAAACCACACTGTAAAGAAAATATTTTCAATATCTTCATTCTTCATCTTCAAATAATCATCATTAATTATAACCATGTCTAAATCTTCTAATTACACTGAGGAGCAGTTGCAAAGAGCTGTTGACATATATAAAAGCAATTCAAAATTAAAAATCACATCTCTGTCACGAGAATTCAAAGTCCCATATGCCACCTTGTATGAGAGAATCAATGAGAAGAAATCAAGGACTATGAGGGTTCCACTGAATTGAGCATTGAATGACAGCCAGGAAGAGATAATTAAGATATGGATTCATCAATTGAACATTAATTTTTGCTCATTCATCATCAAGCATATCAAAGCTGCCGCGAACAATTCCTTACTAATCTGGAGAGCATCTGACTGCAAGCATTCAAACCTGGCACTGTGAGAGCTGGCTTTGCTGATCATGGAATGTATCCAGTTAATCGCGATATAATTCTCAATCAATTGAGACCTCTTACCATTGATGATGCCCCGGATCTCAACATATACGATGGTGATGGTGATGTATGCGATCACTTTACCCCGCCACCTGCAGATTGACTGTCAACTGCCTCCTCGCAATTAACCTTCTCAGAGACGGTTGCAAAACTACATCATCAAATCAATGCAGCAGTCAAGGCCTTAGAAGATGTGAAGGATACCCTTACACCTGGTTTGACAAGACAGTTGAACAAGATCTTCAAGGGTAGCATGGTCCAGGCGGAATTGAAGACACATCATGAGGATGAACTTGCAGATCATTATTGAGCAAATAGATGTTAAGTTGTCAAATCCTCCCACAGGCAGGTGCAAGTAGGTGAAGTTCTCACTATTAAGAATACCAATTGCAAGATCACAATCTGTAGAGTAGATAAGATGAAAAAGATGTTCAATAAGACTCTTCAATTAATTGAAATCAAATCTATAAAATCTACAGCCACTCAATCACAATAAGATAATTCTATAGAATCTCAACTTACAGTGAATTCTACACCTTCTAATGAGTATATAGATAATCTTTATATTATAGATAGATGTAGTGATGATTATTAATTAATTTTTGAAGATTACTATATTCAAAATATTTTCTTTATGGTGTGGTTTTCCGTACACTGTGGCGCACTCACTACAGAGAGTGAGTAAGCATGGCACGGTTACAGTATAGAGAGACTATAACAAAATAAAATTATTAAAAGATAATGTATAGCTGTTTTAACAGACTATATCTAGTCAATTTCCATCTCTTCATATTCAGATACTTCTGAATTCAGTCATTTTCTTATAGCTGCTCTAGTTTCTGATAGAAAGTCTATTAAGTATTTAGTTCCTGTCTCAGTTGAGAATAAGAACCTCATATTTAATTGATTTAAATCATACTTTTTCTTTAATCTGACTCTGAGACTATTGTATAATGCACAATGCATTACAATATACTCAGGATTTTCATTCACATTGCAGAATGAGCACTCTGTTGAATCAAATCTATCATCAAATCTTTGTATATAAGATTTGAAATAACCATGGCCTAGTTTCAGCTGAATTATAGATGAGAATATTTTCTTTTTATATTTAATTAAACAAGATTTTCACTTTGATTTTATCTCAAATCTTGAATAATGTATACTCTTCTTTTGTTTCTGCCAGCTTTTATTTCACTTGTTTAAACAAGATTCTTTTATCTTTCTCTTTATGAAAGATCAGAACACTGTTTTTTGAATAGATCTGCTTAATTCTGAACCCTTTTTTACAGCTGAATCAGCCAATTCATTGCCATGAATATTCATATGAGTATGAACTCAATGCAGATGAATTATCAGTTTTGATGTTCTTCTCTTTTGAACTTTCAAAACAGAGTTTAAAATCAGTTCAAGATTCATTTGATCATTATGAATCTGACTATTTCTAAGTCTTTTTAAAGTAGCTTGACTATCAGAGAATATTCATGTCTCTTTCAAATCATTTTCTCTTTTATGAGATTTTATTTCAATGAGTTTGAAAGCTTTGACTATTACAAATAGTTCAGCATCAAAGACTTCAGATTCACAGCCTAAATTTCAGAAATCTGAGATACAATTAATATTATCTTCAGTATAAGCAATGTCTGCATCTAATCTATTCAAATTCTCATTTTTTGAGCCATCTGAGTCGATCAGAATAGAGTCTTTTATATTAATTATAGAGATCTTCTTCAAATGCTGTTCATATTCTCTCTCTTTAGATAGTTCACTTATTTGTAAGTCTATAAGAGATTTCAGCTTTTCTCTTCAGAGAGATATCTTCTCATGATCAATTTTCTCAACATTTAATGAAGAAAATTGATTCTTAATAAGTGAACATAGTCTATACAGTTGAGAGGACATTTTCTTTAAAGTATTATTCTCATTTCAATCAAGAAATCTATTCTAATCCAGTTCATTTCCTGAGTTAACTGATGAAAATAAAGAAGAGACTCTTTCTCTGATTATATGATTTGAGCTCATCTTCATGACTCTCAGAGCATAGTTCATACAGGCCTTTTCAAATCAAATAGCAGGAGATGAAATTGAAGCTTCAATTTTCATTGCTTTAATAGGAGATGACTTGAATGCTTTCAGAATTCTTCTCAAAGCTCTGTTTTGTAGACTTTGAAAGAGTTCAGTGAAGTTTTCTTGATTGTTTCATCAAACTTGAACTTCATAATCAGCTACTGAGATAATACAGGCTATATATAACTGTCTCTTAGCCTGAAAGAATAGACCTCTCTCAGTATTTAATAGTCTGATTATACTATTCAGTAGTCTCTCTGTCTTGATAATTCTTTGTTGAATATGATATTTAAAATTCAACTTAGAGTTTAATCATACTCCTAGTTATTTGACATTCAAACTGAATTTAATCTCTTCATTCAAAAGAGTTAGACTTAGTTCTTTCTCATTAAATCTGGAAAAAAAGTGAATTTGCTCAGTTTTATTTATATCAAATTGAATTAGATTGATATCTGCTCTAACAAAGATTTTCTTTACTGCTTTCTCAATTACTTCTAAATCCTCTTTGATTGTCTTTGAACTGTAGAGTAGATCAATATCATCTACATAACTTGAAGATCTCACTATTTTCATCTCTCTATTCTTGAATAGATATGCAGTGTATATTGCAAATAAAACAGGTGAGATTGAAGATTCTTATAATACTTCTATTTTTATCTCAGTTTTATCTTGTTTTCTTCCATCAAAAAATAGTTGTATAATTCTTTTAGACATGAAATAATTGACTCATTTTATTAGAGAAAGTGACAGTTTTAACATCTTCAAAGTTTGAATCATCTTAGACTTTGACACATGATCAAATGCATCTTTTATATCAATAAAAACTGCAGTTGAGACCAGGCCTTCATACTTTGCTACTTGAATATCATGAATAACTGAGAGAACAGTATCAATTGTAGAACATTGTTTTCTATCTCTCATTTATTCATTAAATAGAAGAGAGTCACTAATAGAGCTTATAAAAGATAATCTAGTAGCTATTATCTTTTCTAGAATTTTTCTCAAACAGTTCAACAGAGATATTACTCTATATGACTTAGAAATTGAAGTCTTTCTATTAGGTTTTGTAAGGATTACTTCAGTAGCTTCTCTCCAGCATTCAGAATGATAATCATTTTTTAAGAGATTGAAAAAGAGCTCAAAATATTCATTCTTCAAGTAGGAATATGTGTTTTAAATAATTAAGTGATTAATTGAATCAGGTCCTGCAGCAGTTTTAATTGAACTTGAGAATATTGCTGACTCTAGTTTATCATATGTAAGCTCAGGTCATTCCCAGTTATTTTCATCAATATATTCATGAAATAACATATTCTTCTCTTCTAAATGTGATGAGTTTTGAAAGATCATTCTCATAAAAGCATGACATTTTTCCTTAAAAGAATTTGCTGTATATAATTCATTCTGAAATTCATATTCTAAGGTTGAAAGCTTTGCTACACTTCTTGTTTTAGTATAGTTGAAGGCTTTAAAAACTTCTTTTTCTTATGCTTCTTCAAGAAATTTGTTTCAGTAATCTGTTTTAACTTTTTTAATATCTGAAAAATATTTATTTTGAAAAGCTTTGAACTCTTTATCAGATATTAAGTGATTCTTTCAATCTCTCTTAGCAGTGACTAATTACTTTCTTTCAGAAGTGATATTCTGATTTCATCAAGGTTTGAAATACTCAGAAGACTTTTTCTTTGAAATATTTTCTTCAATACTTGTTAGAAGAATAGATGTAATTAGCTTTGCTCTATTCTTAAGTATTTCATTTGAGATATCTTGACTTTGATTTCAATAGAGCTCACTCTGTCTTTCAGATTTCAGCTGTTTTACTCTTTCTTCAACTGCTTTTTAATCAGCTTTTTCAAAGTTATACTAATTAGAGAGAAGAGGATTTTCACTTCTTTATTTTTCACTCAGTTCAATATCAAATTGAATGATCTCATGATCTGATTCTCAGGTTTCATTTGAATCAATAAATCAGTTTATAAGTCTTTTTTTAATTAGATTTTATGACATGAAAGTTAGATCTATAATAGATTTCTATTTCATGTCTTTTCTAAAGAATGTTTGTTGATCAGACTTGTTAACTAAATCTATTGAATGCTTAAAAGTTCATTCAACCAGTTTATCTGCTGTTACTGCTCTTATACACTCTGAGTTTCATCAGAGATGATATGCATTGAAGTCTTCTACAATTATAGAGTTTTTTAAGAGAGTTATATTCAAAAATTCTCTATCAATTGTTCAGATATTGTTGTTTTCTTTCAATGATTTTTCATTATAGATATTTATAAGTTGAATAGTATCAAACTCATTATCTTTATCTATAATGTCACTCACTAGAATGTCAGAGTCAGATATGATATTAAATCTCAGATTAAATTGATATCTTGATCTTTTTCTCTCATAGATTGCTACTCTTGATTTTATCTCAGATTTTTCAGAAAGAAAGCAGTAATAGCTTGAATGAGAAATGATGTACTTTTGCTCAGTATCAAAGTTTGATTCTTGAAGAAGTACAAAGTCAACTTTTTATTCAAATGCAATCTGAAGATAAGAATAAATACAATTTGAGTTTTTATTCACATTGTTTTGAATAAATGTGATTTTTGAAGAGTTTTTAAACTTTTTTTGTTGTTTTTGTTATACATTCATACTAAAAGAGAGTGAAGATATAGTAGAATCTAATCACTATCACCAGATAGTAGATTATAACTATTTTAAAAAGCAGGAATCTCAACTGCTTACATTCTATCTAGTTTATCATCAGAGTCATTTCTCAATTCTCTAATCTTAACAGATATTTGAGAATTCAAATTCTGTTTATATTTAGCTGGAAAATTGAAGTTTGAAGACCTAGATAGTTGAGAGTTTCTTCTTTTTAAGCTTGCAGTTGTGAATTTACTAGCTTGACTTTTCTCTTCAGTTTTAAATTCACTTTAAGCTTCATCTTTTCTCCAGTTCTTCTGAGTTCTTGAAGTAAATACACATTCTTTTAAGCTAGATGCATATTTTTCTTTGCAATTGAAGCACTTAAGCAGAGTATATTAACATATTTCATCTCTTTTTGAGCATGTTTTACATTTATGCTCACTAGTTTTGTGATCTCTAGCACAGAATGCGTATTTTGAGTCTCTGAAACAAGAGATTACAAAGTGTTCATATCTTTGACAGTTTGAACACTGTGTTTGAGCTTTGAGATTCATTCTTGAATCTTTGTATTCATGAACTCTCATTTTCAAACCTGCTACT